GCCAGCGGCTGAAGCAGCTGCACCGCTTACTCGCGCTCACTGCGACTGTGCGGAAAGTAAAAATAGCGAAACCTGGCCGTTCTGCGTCTCCACGCCACACCTTCGCGGTACGCGTCCTCCGTGGGGGTCCGCAGCTTGTCAGATCCGCTGATGAAGAAAGGCATGCCCTTTGCAGACCACGTCACACACGTTTCGAGGCATGGGCACGGCGACGTGTTGCCCCTCCAACAGAACGAGCAGGCTGTCCCACCCGATCCGCATGCTTTGTGGTCGCAGATCTTGTAGCACAGCTACTTTTCTGCTCGCAATCCCCTGCAACGGAAAGTTGCATTTTCCTGCAGGCCTGGTGTATGTGAGCTTGGCTCCGAAGATGTACGTCACCGGGTCGATCGCGCAGGATTTACCCGCGTTGCGTGGCCCGTAGAAGAACAAATTGTTGAACTTCTCGGCGCCGACCTGCAGCGTCCTAGTTCTCGCCGCTATCAGCCTGGCCTCCTCCGGCTTTTCTTCTTGCGACATCTGCGGGGGGAAGTTCTCGCACTGCACCCGCAGATTGTCTCGCATCAGCGGCATCCACAAGCCGTCACAGACGCACTTGTCGCGCGCCGCGGCGCACACCAATTCCCAGGGAGACATCTTCAGTCTCTTCAAGTTATCCGTGGACGCTTGGATGTCCCACACGGTTGCCAGCAGCGTCGGAATGTCCTTGAAGTGCCTAAAAAAGAATTCGCGCACCGGCTCTATTTTGTCCGAGGCGCGCTGCTCCAGGTGCGAGTATAGGATGGACTTGTCCGAAATTTTGTTGGCCACGATGTAGTCGACGAATTGCCCGTGGGACAGGGGCTGCACCCTGCCCAGCTTGATGCCGCGCACCTCTGCCAGCCACTTGCGAACTCTCTCTTTCACGGAGTTCACCGCTCCTTTGGGGATGTCGCTGAGCAGCTCCACCACGGGCGGATGGCCCTTGCTAAGCCACGGGCTGGCGTCGACGTCCGGCTTGCTCTCGGACTGCACCGCCAAGTACGCCACAATGCCCCAGTAGGTCCTGTGGCCGTCTTCCAAGTGGATAAAAATTCCATGCTTCTCGCACAAGGTCCGGAACAGTCAGGTGTGCTGTATGGGCTCCGAGACGTGCATCGCTGCGTGGGAAGACAGACAGCTTCAAGATCTGCGCCGCGCTGTCGCGGGTTGCATCCTGGAAGACGCTGTCCAGCTTGTCCGCAAATTCTTGTCTTGTCAAATCCTTTGGGTTCTTTCGCCCAGGCACATCTTCTCGCGGGTGCGAGAAGACGATGTGGAAGACTCGCTGCGGCTTGCCTTCCAAGTCTTCACGCGGCGCCTCCGCCGGCTGCGCTGGCTGGTCCTCTGGCCGCTGCGGGCCTGCCGGCGGGGCCGGCTCAGCCGACTTCCCTCGCGTCTTATTCCGCGGCTTGGGGTTAGCCCGCCGACTGCCTTTGCCCACCTTCTCGTCTGCCGTCGGCCGGGCTTCGCCCTGCTTTGGCTGGACTTCGTCCAGCGCTGCTGCTGCGTGCTGCGCACGGCTCCGCTTCACTGGCCGCGAAGATGTCTTCCACTTCTTGCTGCTCGAAGCCCTCCCACAGACGGTCGTAGTCCTCGGAGTTTATCGGGCTAAGCTCGTGTCCTGGAGTAAGGGCTTGCTGCCAGCACCTGCACCAGGAATATCCACAAGCGGGACAAGCTTTATCCAGGTCTTCTGCTACGGCTCGCGAGGCGGCAAGCAGCTGCGACCCCGTCTCGGCAGCCAGCTGCGACCCCATCTCCTCTCCTGTCTGCTCGACGGCATCGCTTCGCTCTGCCTGTCGCGGCCAGACTTGGCCTTGCGGCGACGCTTGGGTGAACTCCGGCTTGCTCTCTCGCTCTTGCGCTTGGAGCGCTTGAGTGCCGCCGCCGCCGCCGCCTCTGCCTCCAGCTCTTCTTTGCGTCTCTCCGCGCTGGCGTGGATGCATTGCCAAATGGGCGCTTGCAGCGCCGCTAGCGGGGCTCGGCAGGGCGTCGCAACTGGCGCCGCCACTGCAAGAGCGAGCTTGGCGTCTGCCATGTTTGGTCCGAAGGATTGTTCTGCAAAGCCGAAACGAATGCTCGCTGAGAATTCGGTGCACTAACTCGAAACGGGCAGCTCGCTCTCTTTGTTTTTTCTGCGCTCCAGCAGATTGTGCTCGGCAAAAGCCCCGGCCTTCGACCTGGACGAACGCTCCCCTCTCACTGGCTCTGAGCTTGCCGGAGCAGTCCTTCCACTTGATTGCGGGCGATGCCGGGGAACCAGCGGACTTTGAGCAGAAACCAGAGCTTTCTGGAGTCCTGCAACTGCGCAAATTGGTCCCAGCTGGAAACGGCGCAAATGCGTCCAGGACTCCTCGAATCTAATGGACTCTTGCTGCCACAGAGACTCGACTGACTGCCTGGCGGCAGTCTTCCATGTCACTTGGCCTGCGCTGCGTCTTCTGGTAGCCATGCGCACAAAATGACGCCAGACGCATGGCAGCATTTGCACAAAATATAGATCGGGTGCGACTTTGAAGTGCTTCTGCAGCGCTGTTCGAAATGCTGTCCATCTGGCAGGCGCGGCATCCAACGCCTCGCGGCAGTTGTCGGCGTCGCCGGACATAGCGCACGCCAGACATAGAGGACTGGGGCCCCAAAACATGAACGTGGTGCGAAGATGCCACAGCCGACGGTTGGCGCAGGTCGCACAGGTCATGAAGACGTACAGGTCGTTGAGCATACTTCAGGTGATACCCCCTCATGTCTGAAGCCGTCTTACAGCCCGGCCGACCCAACAGGTGAACAGACAGAAGCAAAGTTCGCAGCTGCGCCAGCACTGAGGAAGTCTGCCCCAAAAGGTCTGCCGTGAGGAAGTGGTGCATCTGCAGGATGAGGCGACCAGTGCCCAAGGCCGATTCAGCCCAAAGTTTCAGCGCAGTCACCGCGTGGTCCACGAAGCGGGCGTCCGCTCCGACTCTGACTACATCCATGGACTTGCCGAATGTTCTGCGGCGTCCATCGAGATTTGCGAACATTGACCGCACCGATCTTCTGGAACCAGCAGCCAGCCTGAATGCATCTTCGACGGCGCCGACAACGCGGCTGCGAGTCTCGGTCGTCAGGCCCTCCGCGTAGATGCTGCGGTCCGCCACGAACCACTCGGGGTGCAGCAAGACATCTGTGAAAAACGAGCGGTTGCCCAGGTACCTGAATACGCAATCTGGTGCAAGCCGAAGGCAACTGAGTGCGGCACATGACATCAATCCCTCGCAATCGAAGACCTGAAGAAACTGAAATTACGAAACAATTTGAAACAAATGGTCCGAACCGAATGCAGCTGAGTCTGGCACATGTGACATCAATCCCTTGCAATCGAAGACCCCAAGAAACTGGAAATACACAACATTTTAAACACATTTGGTCCTAACCGAATGCAGCTGAGTGCGACACGCGTCACAAATGCAACGTGTTGGCCGCTTGCGCGCAGAGACGAAGGTCAAGTCGATCTCCGGAGTCCCGGCCTCGACCGGTTTCTTCGCAAGCTCCATGTCCAATTTCATCCGCTCGGATAGCAAAGGCCAATGACGAGCTGACAACTGCAAGCACAATTACGGCGCACAAGTCCAAAACAAACAAACAACAATGCTGCCGCAAAAACTGTCGCGCTGCCCGCTAATGCCTTTCCTCGATGTCGCAAAATGCACAGCCTTCGTCCAGCCTTCGGCTTGGCCTTCGTCCAGCCTTCGGCTTGACACACTGCGCCGCTATAGCGCATCCAGGTCGCAGCCGCTCTCCGCACCCCAACGCGGAGCATGGCTGCCGCCCCAACGCTGCTCTACTTCAAAAGCTGGTGGATCTCTTTCAAAAGCATGCGGGAATGTTCTCGACTGGAGATCCGCTGCGCTCCCACGCAGGTGACATTTGTCCTGGCTTCGCCACCCCACGTGTCCGGCTTGGCTCGCAGCTGCAGCTCCAACATCTCGTCGTAGTATGTGTCCTTGAGCGCTTCTTCACAGATCTCCTCAGACTGCTGGCTCAGTTCGACAATGGACTCGGCGGTCGAACCTAGCACTTTCTCGGCAGCTGGGTGAAAAACTGTGACCCAGCATGATCCGAAAGCATCTTGAAAACGACAGCGCACATTCAGCCGCGGCCCCACCTGCGCAGCGCAACTGCATAAACGCAAAATGATCGCGCGCAAACCCGCCTTCCCCGACTTCTGGCACATTCGACAGTACCCGGTCTCGTCAACTCTTCGGTTACACTGCAGGCTGCCGCCATCTTTCAGCTCCAGGCAGGCCATGTAGTACAAAGGCATGGCCTGCCGATTCAAATGTGTGGCACACCAACTGCATTTCTGCATCTCTCTTTCTCTCTCTCTCTCTCTCTCTCTCTCTCTCTCTCTCTCTCTCTCTTTCTCTCTCTCTCTCTCTCTCTCTCTCTCTCTCTCTCTCTCTCTCTCTCTCTCTCTCTCTCTCTCTCTCTCTCTCTCTCTCTCTGTATATATGTAGATGAATATACATATATCTATATATATACACATTTAGAAACACGAACAAACAAAAACATCGCGCCTCGTGGGTTTTTTTCGGAGCTGTAGCGACCCAAGTCGGCGTATGAGCGTATAGGACTGCTGCTCCCTCACAGCCTGCTGCGACATCGCTGACATCTCTACCGAGGTCGCTCTTTGTGAAGGTCGAAGACTACCAGCTGGGCTGCTCGAATGTGAGATGTAGGTCAATCTCTGCTGGTTGCCTCCCTTGTACCACCAGGCGGCTACCCGCTGCGCCTCTGGCAAGAAGGTTGGGTTGAGTATCATGGATCCTGCTTCCGCCATGGAGCCGCTTCGACAGCTCATCCACTCCTTGACCTAACTCCTTTGAGGGCTACCACGGGGCTGCCGGCAAACTCGCGACTATCTAATCTGGCTCTGTCACCCCACAAGGTAATCAGCACGCTGTGGCCGCTGTCGTCTGCCACAGTGATCTCTCGCTTGACTAAAGCTTTTCCTTCTTTGGTCTGAAACTCTTGAGGGTGCTCCCTGAAACGATGACTCCGCAGATATCCACGCTGCTAGGCACAGCCATCTGTGTCACTGAAGCAATCTTCTGCACGGCGAGGCGCACTGCTCCGATGTCAGCGTCGTCGTCTACCATGTGTATCTGACATCTGCCGTCGAACACCAGCTCGTAGCCATGCTTGAGCACGCTGTACTTCTTCTGGGCAGGGCGCACGCTGCCGTTGCACAGCGTGAAGCATCTTCCGCACTGCATGAGATCATAGTGCTGCTCCGCAGCTTCGTTGAACAAGCTTGCACGAATCTCGCCTCCTTCTCTATCCAGCAGCTCCACTGAGAACACCATCCCTGCAGGCCGACCAAATCCACCAAACTCAACCAGTCACTGCAAACCTAACATATGCGAAGACTCGACAACTCCCACGAGCCTGTCCACCACCATTCTTGTTTTGGAACTGACGTAGCCGTGACCGGCTGGTCACTCTGCACTTGATGGTCCACTTCGGACCCACCCAGGTACTTAGCTCTCTGACTGGAAAAAAAAGCGCGATGTTCGCTCATGCTGCAGTTTGCTTCGAGCAAAACAACTAACTAACTAAAGCCAAAACACCTGCGAGCCGCTGCCAAACACAACGTGTGAAAGACAACACCGCCCAAGCACAGCACACGGGCCGTCAACTCTCATTCTTTTCATGGCTCGGTGCTCCATTTCGACTTCTGCTGCGCGGGACCGATTCTCCGCTAGCTATTCCGCGTGGCCCAGCCTTCGGCTGGGCTACTGACCTAGCCTTCGGCTTGGCAATCCGAGCAAACCGCTCGCGCCCAAACGCTGCCGGTGCGTTTGTCTCCCAGGCGCCAGCCTCGGGAGACCATGTCTTGCTGATGGACCAAGTCGTCGTCGCCCATGATGCAATTTTTGGTGACATCCATGTCGCGGCATTGCTGGCAGACGACCGCGTACCGGTAGTAGCGAGAATCGTCCTTGGTCGCTAAAGGCTCACATGGCCATTGCTCATCTCGCACAACCAAAAACAAAACATCCCTCGTCAACTCTATGACAGCCGAGCCGCGGTGCAATAAAATGCTGTCGTCTCTGTCAGATCCCGACAAGTCATGTTGATCATCATATAATCTTTAGTCGTCACATTTACGAAATCCGACGACTCGCCTACCGGCGGATCATGTTGGGCGCAGCTTCTTTCATCCGCTCGTCTGGCCGAAGTTGCCTTGGGGGGCGGCGACTTCATGACGGCGCCTGGCGGGAACTGCCGCAGCACACATGGCGGCGGCGCCTTGGTTGGCAGATGTGCCGGCTGCGCGCAGGGGGCTTTCGCCTTTGTCTCGAAGGCTGGCGGCTGGGGCTCAGCAGGTGTTTGCGTGAAAAAAAACGAAGGTGGATGCTGCTGAGCAGGCGCAGCCGGCGCACAAGGAGAGGCCGCGGGAGTTGGGAAGCTTGGCGGAGGCGAAGGAAACGCCGGAGGCGAAGAAAACAGATCAGGTGGCGACGGCGGGCGAGCCTGCCGCGGCCTGACCCAGCACGCACATGGATTTGCGTGGCACACATCGCACACGCACGCTCCCGGCTCTGGCACATGCCAAGGATCATAAGCATAGCCATACCCTTTTGTCGGCTGCCAGGCAGGCTGGTGCTGTTGTAGACGCTCAGGCAGGTATGTGTGATCATAGTTCGCACCACCTGCCTGACCTTCGGTCTGGCTCTCGCCCGTCCTCCCGCAAGTTTGCTGAGCAGCAGCCGCACCTTCGGTCTGGCCTACGCTGGCTCGTGAATACTCAGCAGGCGGCCGACGAAAGTTACTCGGCACCTGGCTCGAGGCTGCCGCTTGGCCGGGCAGCTGCGGCGGCCGATCTTCGCGAACTCTCTGCCGTTGGGCGCTCGCGGCAGCAGCCGCCGCCGGGCATGGCACAGCCGCCTGCCCGTTGTCAATGGCCCAGCAGCGCAGCCAGTTGCATTGCGTTTGCGCTTGCTGCACCAGCTCCACAAACTTCGGCTGGGTTGAGTTGAGCGCACTCGCATTTTGCAGTGGACCGCACGGTGGCCACAGCCTGCCTGCCTGGTCCGGGTGCACCATCTTGAAGGCTCTTTTCACACCCGCTGCGATCCCAGCTTCACTGGCATCGTGCGGTATGTTCATGCTGCAAAATGGGCATGCCATTGCTTGGAGCAGGTAAATGGTAGCCTGCTCACCGCTTTGGCCAAAAAGGCTGCGGTCATGTACAACTACAGTTTCAACTGTTCGTGATGTTGGGCGCGAACCCAACTGTAACGCTACGGAATGCTATAGAAAAAAAAAGAGACCCCCCCCCTCTTTATTTAAAGCATTCTGTAGCGTTACACCTGGCCAGTAGCATCCTGCAGCACACGGCTCACGTTTTACACGAGGCGGCAGCTCGCAGTTTTGCTACAGCTTAGCTTGGCTTGGCTGGGCTTTGCGCAAGAATAAGGCAATGTGCTTCGCACGCAGCCTCATTTGTTCGTGGTGTCGTCCACTTCTTCGGCTGCGTTCTGATAGTCTTCGACATCAGAGGCAACTTGAGCTTCTTCGGCGGCTGGCTGCTCCTCGTCCGCAGTGGAATGTTGCCCTCCTGCAGCTGGGCTTCGCCGTGCCGCCTCGGCAGTCGGGCTTCGCCCTGCCGTCGCGGAGCTTGCCTGTCCTGGCTCAGCAGCTGGCTGCGCACGGAGCCTCGTCTTGCCCCGCCGCGGTCGTGGATGGCTGCTGCCGCTTCATCAGCCACTCGAGATCGGCGGCACTCAAGCGCCCCGCAGCCCTGATGAGACGACGTCTCTTCCTTGGCTGACAGGCTTTTCACAACTGCTAACAATGAATACTGAACAGAGCAATCAGACAAGACGCCGCATTTCCAACTTCAGCAACTTGGACTGCTCACGAAGCTGTCGCTTCAGATCCGTGCGACGACACTTCATCTCCTCCACATTCATTGCAGTGTGCGAGGCTCAGGCTGAGATGCGATTGAAATGGCTGTCCGACCGCTTGCTGTTGCTAACCGCGCCTGCACCTAGTGCTTAACGCTACCGGCAGCCTAAAACAAAGCCTTGCCTGAACAGTCACTCCGCACAAAATCCTTTTCGCGCCATAGCCTGCTTTGCCACGTCCTGCCTTGGGCAGACGCTTGACGCGCAACAGCGTTACTGGGCTTCGCGCTATCCACTGACGGACGCACACTGCACGCACTCCGCCCAAGCCAGTGAAACTCACAGTGGGACTGGGCGACCAGGACCCGCCTTTGGCGGACGCCGTCGCCCTTTGCTCTGCAACACTGTTTTAGGGGATGAATTGCGACCCCCGCAGACACGTCTCTGGTATGTTCACTCACAGTAGCGTTGCAGTAGCGAAACAAACGAGCAAACCTCGGCCTGTTGGCAGCGCAAAAAAGAAATGACCGGACTTCGTCCTGTCGGCATTTGCTGGCTACTCAACTCGGACTGCGTGCTCAACATACCGACCTCCAAACAGTGCTTGATAATGTTGCACGCCAAAGCGCGTCCGTGGCCAAACCAAACACAGCTGCTGGAACGTAGGCCGCGCTCTGTTGGTAATGTGAGAAATCTGCAGAGCTTCGAGGCCAGTGGTTGCTGCAAATGCCTCCGTCCAGGACTTTTCTTGAAGCCAGCCAGGGACCCTGGCTAGAAGCTGGATCCAGTCGCGCACTGTCACTTGCTGCTGCGTCACTCTCATGCGCTGAAACTCCTGACTTAAACGCTGCTTGACAGAGGCAAAGACAAACACGTCTGCCACCTGCAGCAGCGGCGTCATGCCAGCTGGAATGATGACGACTTCCAAACAACATGCCCTCGCAAAGCGCAAAGTTTCCGGCGCAATGTGAGCACTCGCTGTGTCCAGAAGCAGCACTGGCTGGCAGAATTGTTTGTACGGCTCGCACACTCGATTGATGCGGCTCACCACGCGCATCATGGAGGCGCCATTACTCCACGACGACTTGCGTCGCCACACCACAAAGTTGTCTGGCAACACCAGGCGATTGCGAACTCGCACCGCTAAACGATGAGTGTTGCAGAGCAAAAAGCAAGGCATGAGATGCTGCAGAGACGGCCGGTTGCAGACAGTTGCCAAAAGCGAAGCCGTTCCTCGCTTCTCGTTTGTTGAAACTGCAATTTGACCGCCAAATCCTTTCTTCACGACTCCTGTGACTGGCTTGATGTGATACGGAATCGGCGTCTCGTCGATGTTAATCAAAAGCAAAGGCTTGCCCTGGTGCTGAGCTTTCAGCTGAGTGTGTCGGAGCCATTGCCAATACACTTGTGCCTGCATACCCATTTTTGAGCACAAGTAATGAACCTAGTTTGTGGGTCCCATCTCCACGAGCTAGCGGTAGTTCATTACGACCCTCTTTTTGGGGCTAAAAAGTGTACCCATTTTTGGCGTCACTAAAAAGCTCAAAAAGCTGGCGCAGTCTAGCTTCCTGACAGACCCAACTGCTGCTGCAGACACTGCAAAAAAACGAAGCCATCCTGCCTAGTTGAATCTTCACTATAGCCCAAAATCGATTTAGAGGTCACGAAATACAAGTTCAAAGGCATAACAAAAACACCAAAAAGAAAGACTTGAAGACAAGGTGCCTTTGCGCGTTTTTGCGCCAAAGTCAGCTCCACCTGATGCAGACCAATTCTGCGACGCACGAACTTCCACTGCTTGCAAAACCGCTGCGTCCAGAGTCTTCTGCCGCGAGTGGTTCTGCCTCGCAACCGCTCGTCTTCTGGAAGCATTCGCTGATACATCTCAAACACCTCTAGCGAAGCCGCAGCGTAGCCAGCAGCGTTGTGCGCGGCTACGGCTTTCGCCACCGCCGCTTTGGCGCCCTGCTTCCGGGCCAGCCTCCAGTCTCGTGCATCAGAGCTTCCAGCCCGTCCAATGTCAGCCAGACTTGCCGCCGCGACGCACTGTCCAGCTAGCTCAGCGTCGCCCAACTTGGCGCCAGCAAACTCTTCCGCGGCCGCCACACCTCCCATGGCAAACGAAGCCAGAATGCACTTTCGAAGATGCGGAGTGATCCGGCGACGCGCCGCGTCGCTCCTGGGGCTCGCATCTGTCGAGCTGCTGGTTTCCCTCAGCTGCCTTTTCAAATTTGAGCACACTTCCTGAGCTCGATGCGCCGGTCTGCTGCACATGGGACTGCGCCGGTCTGCTGCGCGTGGGACTACAGGCTACAGAGCTAGCATGCAGAGAATTGCACAAACACTGCTGCCACGCAACAAATGTCTTGCGCGCACCGCCTGGCTGCGGAAAGGCTGCTGTGAAGTGCGCGCAAAACCTGTGCCAAGCTTCTTTGCCGCTGCGAACCGCAGAATACTATTGGTGAACACTCCATGCTCTTACAAGCAGGGCACGCAATGTGACCCTAATTCTGGGGTCACGGACACGGCCAATTTTCAGCCATGGAAGCTAGACAACCTAGACACGCGTCTGGCCTTGGACCTGACGTCGGGCTCTCAGCGATTCTGCCACCCGCTCTCCCACCCGGAGCGCTGTCTGTCTTGCCACCGGCTTTTGACTCGGAGTGATCCCCGCTGTGCCAGCCATAATGCCGCTCTCGAAGTGCTGAAACACTGCCGCCAGCGACTGAAGCCTGAAGAGCTTCTCTTGCTTGCGGCACCATACGCATGTCAGGGCATCGTAGGCCTGCGGAAGCACCAGCCCCTGGCCCACCAGCCACTGCACCTGCAGATCGTTTTGTCCTTGCCCTTCTGATTCGTGTAGAGCTCCATCACCTTGCGCGCCACTGTGTCCACGCGAGCCAGGCGCTCCTCACGAGCAATGAAAAATAGTCACCCCCGCTCGAAACGCTATTTGCAACACACAAGATTAGAAACCCGGCCGGCCTCACTAAGGCGCAACACCTGCATCTCAACCGCCAGGTCTCCGTCTACAGGTCTGCAAGCGACCACCTGCGCGGCGCTGGCCTGCGCGCGGTGACCTTTGGCTGCCTGATGAAAAGCCGTGTCGGCCCGCGTGCGATCCTCCTTCCAACCTTGGTTCCAACCCCAACATCGCGTAGCCAGCAGCCAATGCTCCGTCTGCGCGGGATGCTTGTTCCCGCTGTGGATTATGTGGCCGTCAAATGGCAGCGAAACGAAAGGGCCGTCCGTGTCTGGAATTGGCTTGGTCAACTGCATCACTTGGAGGGCTTTGTCGGTGACCAGCTTGTCCTCCTTCAGAAGGTACACCCAGCCATACGGGCCGGCGTCGACCCAGCCAGGCTCTAACTTGTTCAGCTGGGCACCCTTCTTGAGCGTCTGGTAAAACTGCCTGCAGAAAGTAAGGTACCCCTTGCCTTTCGCCTTGCTTGCAAGCTCGGATTGCCGAGTCACCATGGCCTCTCCCAGCACCCGAGCCAGCAGCGGGTGCCGCGGGGAGCAAATGATCAAGCCCTGAAACACGTATTCGTGGTTGAATGTGCCCAAGGACGTCACCATGAATGGAGGACACTGAGCGCCTGCCCGGGCTTCGCCCTGGCGGCCCAGCTCATGCTGCACGCAAGCGTTTTGTAGCTCGAGAAGCCACCTCCAGAGCGGCTGAAGCAATCCGCACTTGAAGTCCAGGTATACTCCACCGCGGCGGTACATATGCAGGTAGCGCCAAACATCGGCGCGGTGGCACGGCTTGATGTATTCTCGAAAAAGATTCACAGATTGCGTAGAGGCAAAGTTGCAAAACTCTGCATACTGCTGGCCATCGTCGACAAAGGTTCGATCGAACTCTCTCGCGAAGTAGCCGGCGTGCCTGCGCACCCGATGATCCTCCCGACAGTACGTCTGCACCAGCCGTCGCGGCAGCCACCACAAGGGAATCTTTTTCTCATCGTGCCTCCGTGCCCACAGGCTCGTTTCGCTGCAGGCATTCGCCCAGCCGCTGGCGATCTGCAACAACGTCCTCATGTCCACGGCGTCCTGCTCCCAGTGACGCAAAAGCTGCAGCTCCGAGCACAAGTTCACCAAACTTCTCCGATGCATAGCCGTGCACTTGTCTCCGGTCTTCGGAACGTTGTTCCACCCACAGCAGATGACGACCGCCAGGTCGCAGTCCACCACGTCGTCCTCTGCGCGCGTCGTGCCCTGGCACACAGCCAACTTCGCCGCCTCCTCGATCACGTGGCAATAAACTCGGCGCTGTCGATCCTTGTCGCCACAGAAGTGCAGGCCACGCCGATAGAACGGCTCGCTGTCCTGCCACCAGCTGTCCTGCATGTCTAAAATGGTGTTCTCGCAAGCGCCAACTGCTGCGATGTTTATGCAGGTCGCCATAGATCGCAGTGCCTTCCGGCACGCTTCCGCGTGCCGCCACAATGCTCACCGCCAGCCTCTGAGCTAGAAAATCTGTCACATCCGGGAATCCGAGGCGCGCGGCAATCTGCCTCCAGCCGCACACGAGCTGCTTGGCCACGCTCGGAAGCGTCTCGCCAGCACAACAGGAGCCGGTCACCAGAGACCCACCGCAGCACCAGACGACACAGTGACGCCTGCTCGAAGAATCCACAAGCTGCACGCCGTACTTGTCACCGAAGCCCACCGCTGTGCTGTCAGCCAAGGATAAGATGGGCGCGCACTCAGGCCTCATGGCCGGGCCGACAAAAACTACGCCGAGTCAGCCAAACTGGCAGGGCTCGAACCTGAGCGGGCCAGGCACAGTACACGCATGCAATCAAAAAGCCGGACACTCAACTCCACGAAAGCTGCGATCCCCGCCCTTGGTGGAAACCAGTGGGCTCGGTCTTTCGACTTCGACTGCCGCTTCACTTGCACCGGCACTTGCGATGGCCACAGCCAACCAGAGCTGGTCACTCTCGAGCAGCCGCGCTTGCCTTTACAACAAAAACTACCCGCCGCTCGCCAAAACAATACAAGAAAACACGCAGTCTACAAGTCCCGGCCTTCGGCCTGGACGCAACCCCGGCCTTCGGCCTGGGCGCACGCCTACTCCCGCCTGCTGCGTAACACATCTGGTCCAAACCGAATGCAGCTGAGTGCGGCACATGTGACATCAATCCCTTGCAATCGAAGACCTGAAGAAACTGAAATTACGAAACATTTTGAAACACATCTGGCCCAAACCGAATGCAGCTGAGTGCGGCACATGTCACTTCCATCCCTTGCAATGGAAGACCTCAAAAACTGGAATTACGAAACATTTTGAAACACATCTGGTCCAAACCGAATGCAGTTGAGTGTGACACTCGTCACCGGTTGCATCCTGCTGGCCGGCGTCGACCCAGCCAGTTCAGCTGGGCACCCTTCTTCAGCGTCTGGTAAAACTGCCTGCAGAAAGTAAGGTACCCCTTGCCTTTCGCCTTGCTTGCAAGCTCGGATTGCCGAGTCACCATGGCCTCTCCCAGCACCCGAGCCAGCAGCGGGTGCCGCGGGGTGCGAGATCAAGCCATGAAACACGATTCGTGGTTGTATGTCCCAGGAATGGTCACCTGATTGCGGACCCGGGCTTCGCCCTGGCGGCCCAGAGCATGCTGCATGCAAGCGTTTTGTAGCTCGAGAAGCCACCTCCAGAGCGGCTGAAGCAATCCGCACTTGAAGTCCAGGTATACTCCACCGCGGCGGTACATATGCAGGTAGCGCCAAACATCGGCGCTGGCACGGCCTGATGTATTCTCGAAAAAGATTCACAGATTGCGTAGAGGCAAAGTTGCAAAACTCTGCATACTGCTGGCCATCGTCGACAAAGGTTCGATCGAACTCTCTCGCGAAGTAGCCGGCGTGCCTGCGCACCCGATGATCCTCCCGACAGTACGTCTGCACCAGCCGTCGCGGCAGCCACCACAAGGGAATCTTTTTCGACGGCTCAAGTCTAGCTTTTTTGGTCGCCGAGACCATTCTCCAGATGCTAAAAAAGCCAGAGGTAGGATGTTGGGCTTTTCTATGAAGACAGGCTTGCCGCCTCTTTCAGAAATGTCGAAGACCGTTCTGCAGATCCAAGCGAGCTGGAAGCAGGACGCCGTGGACATCTCACACCTTGCTTTTTGCTTTGACGAAAGGAGACAATACAAGCTCGCCGCCGCAGCCCGCGACCTGCTGGCTATCGCCCTCTGGGCGAACAGCCCAGCGCCGCGCAAAAACCCCTGGGGGCAAGATAAATTGTAATCCTAGAATGATGCAGGGGATTTATGTCAACCCACCTGCCAACACAAAGCTTCATCAATTGCACAACACAATCTCTCTGCATGATGCTGACGCCGAGGCGCTCACATTTACAGCTTCAACTCTTCGTGCTGTTGGCGCGGTGTGTTGCAGGGTGCCACTGGCCAGGTGTGACATTTGTCACGAGACCATGCACGAGACCTTGACGTTTGCGCATGCCTCCCCACAATCTGCAGTCGGCTACTGCGTTGCAGGTGTTGTCGTAGTCTTGGCTGAGTTCCCTCCTGGGTAGACCGGCCTCCCCGTTCTTTCGCCGGCAGTCGGCCAACTGCCTGGAAGAGGTCGTACTCGCGACCGTTCCTTCCTGGGTGGGCGGGATTAACGAGACGAAGAACTGATTCCTGCGGCCGCCCAGCCTTCGACTTGGCTCCCACAAGATGCCAGCGGTCTGCAGTACGCAGGAGGCTCATAGTGCTGGCCCCCACACGCGGCCAGTCTCCACAGCTGCCAGAGTAGCACGCATCGCCGAGAAGCTTCCGCCGACGCCCGGCCTTCGACTTGGCTCCCAGTCTTCACAACACGCCACCGGTCTGCGGGCTCATAGCGCTCGCCCCCCCCCCACGCAGCCACTCTCCACACTTGCCGGAGCAGCGCGCATCGACAAGAAGCAAAAGGCAGCTTCCGGATTCGCGCGTCCCCTTCACTTCGCAAACTGCTGCCCGACTCCCGGAGAAGTTCCATGAGGTCGCAGCCGATTCTGCCTCGTCTCACCACTACTGCTGACAACGTTTCATTTGGCACCGGGGCACGGGAGAAACTTGCGAAACAAACCGAACGCAGCTGAGCCGGAACGCAAATACATGAAGCTCAGCTCACAACTCAACTTCAAACGACCGCAAATCCCACAAATCATGAGAAGCAGTGAGTTACAAGTTTTGACTGCGCAGGTCGCTTCACTTGCATTAGCACATTCACTGGGCGTTAGCCAGGACCAAGGCTGGTCAGTCTCAGGCGACCGCACTCCACTTCAGAACAAGCTGCCAGATCCCGGCCTTTGGCCTGGATTGCCAACTAGCCACGCCCAAGAATACTGTCGCGCAGCCAGGAGGCCACAGAGGGCTCAGACGTCGGCAGCTGCCAGCCGCGCTTCTCCGTGTCGTGGCTGCTGCTTCGGCCTTGCGCCGAGCCTGACCTTGCGCTCCACTCAACCTCCAGCCTGTCCAGCTCTTCCCACTCTTGATCAGCGCCGCCTGTCTCTCGACATCTGTCCTCCGTCTTCACCGACGGCGGCACGCTTGCGGCTCTTGTCCTGCCGGCAGCGGGGCGGTGTCGGCTGAGCCATGTCGAAGTCGGACCATCGGCCTCTCCACTGACGGCCGCCGCGGGATTCCCCGGCGGACTGCCTTGCGGCCGGGATGCTGGTGCCCGGTCTCACGCAGTAGTCCAGCCCTCCTCCGCTTGCCTGAAGCTGTCGCCCCTTCACTTCCATAATCTTGCCCGTCACAATCTTCTCCGTGCAGTCCTCTGGGCTCACTACATCCTGCAACTCCGCAAGCGCCGTCTCAAGAATCTCGGCAGCGATGCCTAGAGCTCGACGCTGTCCGTGCCCCGCGGCCTTCGTCACATAGCTCGTCCTCAGGGCACATCTCTGGCAGGTCATCCACGCAGCATGCTGGTTGCCGCGCGCCCGCGTGACATGCTTCCGGAAGCACGGCCATCCCTCGCGTAGGGTCATCCGAAATGCCAGCAGCGAGCTCCGGCATCCAGCTTCACAGCACAAAGGACTCTGACACACAGCCTCAGATCTGCCCCGGGAAGAAGATGACGGTGGACCACACTGCCCACAAAGCCGAGAATGCACAGCAGCCTAGCTTCTCCACGCACACGCCCAATCCCTAAGCCCTAGACGGCCCTAACACAAACTGGCGAGCCACACATATAGCATTATATTCAGCTCATGCCAACTCTCTCTCCGACGACAACCAACTACACAATTCTGCCTGCAGTAGCTCACTTTTTGCTCGGCAGCTCCCCTCATGCCCAACTGCTGCGCCTTAGGCTTTGCCATAGGCAGCTCCGACACCCGCCCAAGCCACCTACTGCCACGCCGCGAGCTCAGGAGACGTAAAAAAAGTCCGTGGTCACATGCTCTTGGCCACCATACGGGAACCAGCAGCGTCCGTCCTTGGCTTTTCCTGGGATTCTGCCAAAGTAGGAGTTAGCCACCGCGCACCACAGCTCTCCGTGCTTGTCGAGCTGCTTTCCCTGCGGCTCTGCGCCATCCA